GTATTTAGGAAAAAACATTAACTATAACTATAATCAACAGCAAAGCTATAATTCATATAATTGTGGACATTTATGCTTAAAATTCTTATTATCAAAATAAATAAGTAATTATAAAACTTTCTTTTATATCAAATTAAATTTTATTTGTTCTCATCATCAACAGGTCTTTCCATTCATATACACATACATATTAAATACTTAGCAATCAACTATGTACACATTATTAACACTTTTCTAGGGGTGGAGCATCTATATATGTATATACATATGTACGTATGTACGTTTGTATACATTTCTGACTGCATACCAACACACTTTACTAATTTTTCGACATATAAACCACCTGGTATCGGATTTCTCAGATTTCCATCAGCGGTACACCCTGTGATCGATTCCGGTTCTGAATGGTATCGGATTTCTCGAATTTCCATCAGCGGAACACCCTGTGATCGGTTCCGGTTCCGGACTCAGATTTGTCACCAGCGACATCTTGCGGCTTTTATCTGGGTTCTGAACTTGGATAATCGGCGACATCTTGCGGCGGAGCAGCAAAGCTTGCGGCAGAGCACCAGCAAACCGTATAGCGGTTCTGCACCGGTGCAAGCAGCAAGCAGCGCTGCCTGCACCGGTCCAGAATCGGCATAACAATACTACTCATTACCAACAAAAATCACCAATTCAGTTTCCAAATTCATCAAAAATGTTCAGACCAAACTACTAAACCTGCTCATCAAAATCAAACATGAGCTGCTTGGAAAAAAGGAAAAGGAGGTAAATATCCTAAAGACGCAAATAAATCAACAACTAAACACACTTGGCTCCACAACATTTTTTGAAAGTGAAAATCTACTAACAAAAAAACTTGCTGCAGATATTAAGAAGACACAAACAAACTAAAAGACAAACAAAAACAACTTTTAAACGTAAAGGGTGTACCAGGGTGGTTCTGCAACACGTCAACTACGCAAATTCCTNAAATCAAGGATAAAGAAACACAAGAAATCGAAAGAAACAACTTGACGACACTAATACGTGACCATCTCAATAAGAGAACAGAATCAACGAGAGATAAGTTTATTCGCGATACTGTACATTCCACAAAAACATTTTTAAAGAACAATAAACACCTTTTAGTTCTTAATGCCGATAAAGGGAACGTAACCGTAGTTATGAACAAGGCTGAGTACGATACAAAGATGCAGTCAATCGTCAACAACATCTGCACTTACAGAATTTTGAAACGTGACCCAACCAGTAAATTACAAGACAAAAATAATGAAATAGTGGAGAGACTATATAATAACAAGGCCATTGATTTAAAAGAAAAGAACAAGCTTATTAGTAAAACAGCCAATCCACCAAGAATCTATGGTTTACCAAAAATACATAAAGAAGGGATACCCCTCAGACCCATTTGTTTCCAAAATTTGTCGTTCGATGTTGTTTCGTTGTTCCCAAGTATCCCCGATTTGGCTATAAATATTATTGCCTCGAAGTGGAATGATATTAAAGAGCATACAAATTTGTCTAAGGATTTATTCTTAAGTATGGTAAAATTTTGCATAAAAGATAATCGATATTTTAAATATAATGGCAAAATATTTGAGCAACTGTCAGGAATGCCTATGGGCTCCCCAGCTTCACCAGTGATAGCTGATATAGTAATGGAAGATTTACTGACCAAATTTGAAAGTGATTGTTCTAATAAACCGCGTCTCCTAACCAAGTATGTGGATGATTTGTTTGCCATAATTAAAACAGAAGATATAGACAAAATGCTTACTTTATTAAACAGCTACCAAAAGACGATTAAATTTACGATAGAAATAGAAAAAGATGGAAACCTACCATATCTGGACACCCTAGTAATCAGGAAGAACAACCGATTAAAAATTGACTGGTATGCAAAATCTACGTCGTCGGGGAGATTAATTAATTATAATTCGAAACATGAGAGGAAGACTATTTTAAATACCGCAACCAATTTTATTAGAAGAGTTCTCACTATTAGCGACAAACATTTTCATAAAAAGAACAAAAATATAATCCAACAAATTTTGGAACAGAACGAATTCCCCTCTTGCTTAATTAGGAAACTCATTCAGAATTATTACGTCAGGACCGATAAAGAAAATACTTATAATGAGAATAAAGTATACAAAACCGCTACATATGTTCCGGGGATATCTGAGAGGATTAAACATTCTAATATATATGATAAAGAGAAGGTCCAACTAGCATTTACATGCAGCAACACATTAGGAAAAATATATAGCAACACTAAGGATAAGATTCCTAGATGCGAGAAATCTGACGTAATATACAAAATCTCATGCAATGGCGACGGGTCCCACTTATGCCACAAAGTATATGTGGGGACAACTAAAACTAAACTCAAGACAAGGATTTCCGCACACAAATCAAATATAAAGTTAAGGAACAGCTCAACTGACAATAAGACGGCCTTGTCAGCACACTGTAGGGATACGGGACACTATCCCGATTTCGATAATGTTGCCATTCTACAAGAAGAAAAGAACTATAATAAACGCTATATTTTGGAAATGTTACACATTACGAACACCCCTAATGAGAGAAGGATCAACTTTAAAACGGACACAGACAATTGTGCACATGTGTATCGCAATTTGGTGTTAAACCGGCAACAACAATCCTCAACGTAGGTGTTCCGTTCCGCCTTCCATAATCAACATTCGTTCCGTTTCCCCAACATACCTTCATAAAATAACAATAAAATGCTGTGCTTTTACATGTACATATGCTTGTACATATACATATTGTCTTACTGCTAAATGTTCCGTGTATTGTTGTTTGTATGTTTTTTGTTTACAATTACGGTATTTTTAATTGTTTACTTCTTATGTTTGTATTCATTTGCCTAAAATTTCACTTGTTTAACTTTTATTTCTGTACGCCTAATCAGTCCACCAGGCACAATCAAGAGTGTAAGTTGTGTTTAATGTATGTTTGTAATAATTTAAAGTTAATAATAAGTTATCGTGTTTGTATGTATATTTACAGTCCTGAAGATGACCTCAGATTGAGGTCGAAATATCGACAATTAAAAATATCAATAGAACGAAGTTTTTGCGTTTTATTTAATTGCTGGGCCTCGAGCTTGTTAAAAATGATTCATAATTTAAAATTCAAAGGCCAACAACAAAAACAAAATATGTTTAAGCGGAGAGCATACCGAAAACACAAAGACACGTCAAGAGTCTACAGAAATATTAAGGACAATTATGATATAAACACCAACAAGCGTATCAAAAACTACCAACGCATAACACAACACATGACAAAGCTGTCGGAGGCGACGAATAATTCGAAACATGAGAGGAAGACTATTTTAAATACCGCAACCAATTTTATTAGAAGAGTTCTCACTATTAGCGACAAACATTTTCATAAAAAGAACAAAAATATAATCCAACAAATTTTGGAACAGAACGAATTCCCCTCTTGCTTAATTAGGAAACTCATTCAGAATTATTACGTCAGGACCGATAAAGAAAATACTTATAATGAGAATAAAGTATACAAAACCGCTACATATGTTCCGGGGATATCTGAGAGGATTAAACATTCTAATATATATGATAAAGAGAAGGTCCAACTAGCATTTACATGCAGCAACACATTAGGAAAAATATATAGCAACACTAAGGATAAGATTCCTAGATGCGAGAAATCTGACGTAATATACAAAATCTCATGCAATGGCGACGGGTCCCACTTATGCCACAAAGTATATGTGGGGACAACTAAAACTAAACTCAAGACAAGGATTTCCGCACACAAATCAAATATAAAGTTAAGGAACAGCTCAACTGACAATAAGACGGCCTTGTCAGCACACTGTAGGGATACGGGACACTATCCCGATTTCGATAATGTTGCCATTCTACAAGAAGAAAAGAACTATAATAAACGCTATATTTTGGAAATGTTACACATTACGAACACCCCTAATGAGAGAAGGATCAACTTTAAAACGGACACAGACAATTGTGCACATGTGTATCGCAATTTGGTGTTAAACCGGCAACAACAATCCTCAACGTAGGTGTTCCGTTCCGCCTTCCATAATCAACATTCGTTCCGTTTCCCCAACATACCTTCATAAAATAACAATAAAATGCTGTGCTTTTACATGTACATATGCTTGTACATATACATATTGTCTTACTGCTAAATGTTCCGTGTATTGTTGTTTGTATGTTTTTTATTTACAATTACGGTATTTTTAATTGTTTACTTCTTATGTTTGTATTCATTTGCCTAAAATTTCACTTGTTTAACTTTTATTTCTGTACGCCTAATCAGTCCACCAGGCACAATCAAGAGTGTAAGTTGTGTTTAATGTATGTTTGTAATAATTTAAAGTTAATAATAAGTTATCGTGTTTGTATGTATATTTACAGTCCTGAAGATGACCTCAGATTGAGGTCGAAATATCGACAATTAAAAATATCAATAGAACGAAGTTTTTGCGTTTTATTTAATTGCTGGGCCTCGAGCTTGTTAAAAATGATTCATAATTTAAAATTCAAAGGCCAACAACAAAAACAAAATATGTTTAAGCGGAGAGCATACCGAAAACACAAAGACACGTCAAGAGTCTACAGAAATATTAAGGACAATTATGATATAAACACCAACAAGCGTATCAAAAACTACCAACGCATAACACAACACATGACAAAGCTGTCGGAGGCGACGAATAATTCGAAACATGAGAGGAAGACTATTTTAAATACCGCAACCAATTTTATTAGAAGAGTTCTCACTATTAGCGACAAACATTTTCATAAAAAGAACAAAAATATAATCCAACAAATTTTGGAACAGAACGAATTCCCCTCTTTCTTAATTAGGAAACTCATTCAGAATTATTACGTCAGGACCGATAAAGAAAATACTTATAATGAGAATAAAGTATACAAAACCGCTACATATGTTCCGGGGATATCTGAGAGGATTAAACATTCTAATATATATGATAAAGAGAAGGTCCAACTAGCATTTACATGCAGCAACACATTAGGAAAAATATATAGCAACACTAAGGATAAGATTCCTAGATGCGAGAAATCTGACGTAATATACAAAATCTCATGCAATGGCGACGGGTCCCACTTATGCCACAAAGTATATGTGGGGACAACTAAAACTAAACTCAAGACAAGGATTTCCGCACACAAATCAAATATAAAGTTAAGGAACAGCTCAACTGACAATAAGACAGCCTTGTCAGCGCACTGTAGGGATACGGGACACTATCCCGATTTCGATAATGTTGCCATTCTACAAGAAGAAAAGAACTATAATAAACGCTATATTTTGGAAATGTTACACATTACGAACACCCCTAATGAGAGAAGGATCAACTTTAAAACGGACACAGACAATTGTGCACATGTGTATCGCAATTTGGTGTTAAACCGGCAACAACAATCCTCAACTTAGGTGTTCTGTTCCGCCTTCCATAATCAACATTCGTTCCGTTTCCCCAACATACCTTCATAAAATAACAATAAAATGCTGTGCTTTTACTTTTTGCTTATGTTTGTATTCATTTGCCTAAAATTTCACTTGTTTAACTTTTATTTCTGTACGCCTAATCAGTCCACCAGGCATAATCAAGAGTGTAAGTTGTGTTTAATGTATGTTTGTAATAATTTAAAGTTAATAATAAGTTATCGTGTTTGCATGTACAGTGACGAGCAAAACTTTAACATGGTGTAACACTTTTTACTTCAGCCATCGCTATCTTTCCAAGTTCTAACGACTTTCATACTTTTGCCGTATATTCTTGTTGGTACATCCCTACTCCCTCTCTCATAATGATTTGAAGTCAATACAACAACAATAAAAAAACCAGCAGACAAAAATGTAAATTAAAGCAGATGTTACAGTTTTGCACTCATATATTTTTAAGAACTTTTTAACAATTTTCACGAAAAAAAAGAACTACTAACACAATGTTCAGTACTCTTTTGCTTGTTTCAGTTCCTGGATGCGATTTGGCATACCTTATTTGTATCTCTGTAAAAATTCTGGAGGTATATCCTTAGTTTGCTTTCTCAGCTCATGTACTCGTTTTTACGGACTTAGACACTTAGTAAGCTGTGCTTTTAGTTGTTTTCGCAAATTCTCAATGAGATTCATATCCGCGGATTGTGGAGGTCATTTCAAAATAGCAAATTTTTGCTTTTGCATCCTGTCTTTGCGAACATATGGAGTATGTTTTGGGTGACTTTTCAGTAGAAACTCTAATTTTTACAACGCTTTTATCAACTTGCAATGTTGTGTGTCCAGAAACTTTCAATGTTGTGGATCCAGAAACTTTCAATGTTGTGTGTCCGACACCATAAAAGCTTTGCTTTGAAAAGTTCATATAAAAAAGGATAGTGCATAGGGCGACATCTGTAGTGAATAGGGCGAGGTAGATGACATCTAGATGTCGCCCTATGTACTACGTTTGCTACAGCGGAAATAGACGACACGCCATTTCTTTAAATAAAATTAATTGGTGCTCGTTTGTATGTACATACATATGTAAATGCATGTGTGTGCACCTTTCTATTAATATCGTTGAATTATTTTAATATCTATTGCAAAATTTTATTCAGACAGGACTAAAAAGTAGAAAATAAATAATATAAAAAAAACTTTTTAATATACAACGCTTTTATAAATGGANTCAATTGAAATTTAAAAATATGTTTTTTATTGCATTCTGAACGGCCTAACATATCCCAAGAGGCAACGGTTCGGTTTTCGTGCGATGTAGCAAAATGCTGCCACTCTCGCACATGTATTTTGATCAAAATGGTTTTTTCTTCTTTTATTATGCCTTGGCCGTCAATTTGACAATTCTTCGCCTCGCTGTCTACTGATTTGCATTAAATTTTAATACCTTAAGCGCTTCTGTAAGAGTGGCTGCATCGCTACTTGTTGCTAAGTTCACAAAATATCGTACCGTAATATTTTTTGACAGACTTCCTTTGTCCTTGAGAACACTTTAGGCTATATTTTTTCTCAGTCTTAACATTTTCAAGTAGCAAATTCCACAATTTTTTGCCACTTTTCGTGCGGTCCCGCCTTTCCGCAGTAAATCTATTATTTACATTTATGGTTCCTGATTAACTATAATATTTACTGGTGATCACTTCTTCAATAAATTAGAATAGAGAAAAAAGTCATCTGACTTCCAACTAAGTAAGAGATAACTGTCAAAACTGTAACATCTGCCCTAATATACATTTTTGTCTTCTGGGGTTTTTATTGTTGTTGTATTGACTTCAAATCGATATGAGACAGGGAGTAGGGATGTACCAACAAGAATATACAACAAAAGGATGAAAGTCGTTAGAACTTGGAAATATAGCGATGGCTGAAATAAAAAATGTTACACCATGTTACAGTTTTGCTCGTCACTGTATATATACAGTCCTGAAGATGACCTCAGATTGAGGTCGAAATATCAACAATTAAAAATATCAATAGAACGAAGTTTTTGCGTTTTATTTAATTGCTGGGCCTCGAGCTTGTTAAAGATGATTCATAATTTAAAATTCAAAGGCCAACAACAAAAACAAAATATTTTACTTTTGTATCAAAATACTGGTGCTTTTAAACGGAGAATCATATAAGCGGGGNATGAAAAATAAAAATTGTAAAATCACCATTTCTACCATGATAGAGAAAAATCACCATTAGCAACTTTTGTTGACTAGCTATAGCCAGATGTAATTTTCATTCACATTAAAACAACCATATTCACAATGAAAAATAAAAAAATTGTAAAATCACCATTTCTACCATGGTAGAGAAAAATCACCATTCGCAACTTTTGTTGACTAGCTATTGCCAGATGTGATTATCATTCACAGCGAAATATCATGCGAGTAGGAAAATCACCAATCACTGATATTGTGGCCTAGCTGTAGCAGTCACTATTAGCGACTTTTAAATCACAGTGATAAAATCACCGGTAGTGAAATATCGCTTATCACTACAATAAAGTGCAAGTTTCATGTAGTTAAGAAATCGGACTGATTTTTAATATTTTTTTGCTAACGGTCCTAGGCCTTTTCTTTAATGCTGGAAATGTCAACAAAATAAAATTTTTTTACGAAATTTTTTAACAAAAAATTACCATGGGATGAATGTGGTCCGCTACCCCAACTCAAGTCGCCTTGGCCACTGTTACAGTATGTTGCAGCTGAAAAAAAAATTAAAAATAAAAATAAATTAAAAAAATCGCTTTTATTAAAAATTAAATAAAAATATTTTAGGTTCATCTGTTAGGCCTCTGTCAGGTTGAAGTGTTGGAAAAAATACTTAATGGTCCGATTTTCTCGCGTTCGTAAAAAATACTGACGCTTTATTCCAATTTCATAAGTATTTATCGTGAATCAGAATAAATGGTTTATAAATACATTTGTAATAGATATGAAGGAGACAAATATATAATCACATACAACAAGGATGCATGTATATACTTAAGCACAAGTGTAAAAGAGAGTTCAATGATATTGATGAAAAGATAAATACAGTGGTGGAAAAATAAATAGGGACACATTTTTTCAAATTTTGCCTATTTTTCTTTCGTTCTCATTATCTAACAAAAACCATATAAATTCATATTTTAAACTTTGTGCAAAAATTGTAAAAATTTTGTGAACTTTCATCTAAATTTTAAATTTTTAATCAGATTTTTTAGAATTTTTTCGAGTATGTAGTTTTATAGCCTATTAAGTTTTAGTAGAATAAAGCGTAAGTCTTAAGTTGGAAAAAATCGCACTGATTTTTGGAAACTTTTTTTAACGCATTTTCTTTCATACAAAGTATGTTCGACAACTGTTTTTGTATGGAAAAAATTGCGTAACACTTTCAGAATAAAAATTATCAAAATCTCATAACTCAAAACAATTCTAAAAAATTTGATTAAAAAGTTGAAAATTTAGATGCAATTTTGCAAAATTTTTATAATGTTTGCACAAAGTTTGAAATTTGTTATTTGTTAAAAAATAATAAATATTAAATAAAGATAAGAGGAAAAATTTGTTAAAATGCCGTGTCCCTAGTTATTTTTCCACCACTGTATACTGATAAATCAAGTTTACTTAGATCAAATAAACTGAAGCAATTGTTTACAAGTGCCTCCATCATTTGATGGCAACAATAGCTGGGACTATCCGTATATGGGGAAATCTTTTGAGACGGGGACATTTTGCGTACTGGCATATTTTGCCGCCACAAAGCAGCTGCACTACCAAGTGCCGTTTCTATACCTTCGCTAATAATACTTATATGTGTAAATATCAATAAATAAATATTAAAAACAAAACTAATGGGTTAATTTACCAGTTTACTTGCTAAAATCGAGAAAATCAGGAAATTTCTAATGAAACTCGC